AGAGCTCAGCCTTCCCTTGCGAAAATTTATATGTAAATAATATGAACATTTTTATCAACAAACAAATAGTTTGCATGATCTATTATTGAATTTAACATTTTGTTAACAAACTGACCAGTACTGCTATCCAAGCTGATGATAAGTGTGGTTGATGCAGCAAATAATAAACGCACTAGCTCAGAGAAAGAATATTCACTCTTGCCTTAAAGACGCCTACATTATATCCTGACGGAAGGACAAATGCCGGTAAGTTTTTCCCTTCCTTTGCTCTACGCATAATGTATTTAAGGTCCTTAACTACTAACCTCGTCGTGTGAAACAAAAAGATGCCACTCTCCTGAAAATCTCAATTTCCTGAAATGGATAATTCCATCCTTCCATAGAGATCTGGGATGCTGGGAGTTAAAAAAATGGTGATGATTAAAAATAATAAGGGTTTTACGTAGAGAAGATTAGACGGAGATAATGAGTAGGTCAGCGAGAGTAAACAAATATTTCTGGACATCAATTTCCACAAACTCATCCCTGGGACTGGATTAAGCAAAGATTGTCTTTTACATCTATTGTGTTCACCGTTGCTTTATTTACTTAACGCTTATTTAAACATAATTAAATGCAGTAACTACATTCATTGAAGAACGCTCAGAAGTGATGGACCAATTAAGAGGCCATTATATCAATCACTTACGTTGACAGTTCTATTGAACCACGAAAACAAAACGCCCGACATATTGTTTACTTTGAATCACACTCTGAACAATATCAATGCAAGCCTGTCGCTGTGAAAGTTCGAACCTATTTTGGTACATTCATACCTACAGCTTATGGAACACCACATGGAATGTCATGATAATAAAAACTCGCTTACCCCGGTCAAAAACATGGGGTTAAACCATCTTGAAGTCTTGTTTCCTGTCCCAGAATCAGAACAATCGCATAAAAATTTTGATTCCACCAAAATTTTCATTATCGTTCCTTATTATGACGATTGACGACGTTCCTCTTTTCTAAGGTGGTAGAGCCACGCAACAGCCTCGGCTGTTGCACGAACGGGCAAGCTCGTCCGGGTAAGTACTACGACCTCACGGAGGACCGGCGTAAAGTGGAAGAATAATTACTTTCGCGTTTCGTCTGGTGAGTGAGGTGGCCGGAGCCCAATTTTCAAAAGGTTGTTAACGCCTCTGCAACCCTCGGGTTTAGCAGATGTCCATGGGTGGCAACTTTTCACATAAAAAAAATTATATGATATCTTGGTAAAGGAAGGAAAACATAATAAAGAAACCTGCATATTTTCCTGCCTGCCAATCCGTAGTTTGGTCCCATGGTGGACTATGCACTAATACTAGTACCATCTGTACATAGGGGGCCTTTGAACAGCAGTAGGACATTTATAGAACGTTACTTTACTTTTTACTTATAAATAAACAGACGATTTATTTTTTGCTCTCGGAACATGAGTATATAGGGCGCTTAGCTCAGTTAGAGAACAACAGGGCCCGTTACCCAAAAGACGTAGTTTCGAATACTGAGTTTTAGACAGTTTATCAATTAAACTTATATACAAACCGTTTCACCGTGAATGCAGACTAGAATTAAAAATTGTCATCAGCTCATTAACATTTACTTATTTCATCTGCGAAAAATCTTACAAAACTTATAGATGAGTCCCCGCCTCCGAGTAAACTAATATGTGTTTAAGCACAAATGGAAGTCTCTGGGTGGCTATACGAAGTCAAATATGCAAAAGCAACTCCTATAGTAGCCTATCGCTATCTTACACAAAAGTCAATTCGCAAAATATTCGTTAACAACCGCCACCAGCATACGACCATTAGGCTCGAAGAGCAAACTCGGACCGTTTCACTAAAAACGTGTACACGGACTTTGGGATAGGTTTAATGATAGATCGAGCTCAGATGCCGAGGTTTGTGGCAGAATCGTAATGTCCACAACACTGGCGCGGAGGGGAGCGAGTTAACAGAAATCGGCAGTGCGAGAGGGGCGTTCGTGTTTGTCATAACTGTGGTGCGGTCAAGTGACCGCCGAGCCGAGCCGCACAGAACGACTGACAGTTATGCAAACAAGCATTGTGCGCGTATACCAATAGTGCATCTCATTGTCAGCTGGTATCCGCTAAAGCGGGCGCGAGGGCTACTAATTGCGCGGAAGAATTCAGCTTTCCCACCGGGGCAAAAAACCGTGGCACCGACAAATTAAACCCCCGAAATGGGTAGTTGCTTCATAGGAAACACAAAATATCTCTCAACACTGTGACACTATGAATGTAATCAATTCTAATCCATACTTCCATACTAATATTATACATACGAAAGTAACTCTGTCTGTCTGTCTCGCTTTCACGCCAAAACTACTAAATCGATTTAAATGAATTTTGGTACACAGATAGTCTAGAGTCTGAGAAAGGACATAGGCTATTTTTTAATTAGTAAAAACTTAAAAAATTTATATATTTTAAAGAAAGATATTTATTTAAGGGCTTTAACGCGAGTGAAGCCGCGGGTGAAAAGCTAGTTTGAAATAAAGTGTAACTTGATAAACAAACATTTCAGCAAAAAATCTATTTGTCATCATCGACGCACGCTTCAACACCCAGCCAAAAATTAAGTTCTGTACGGGTGGTCCATACTGCACACTTATCTCAGGGACCCATCACGTGACAAAGCGTAATGGCATATCTAAATATTTTATGCGATGCTGTGTTCAAATGTAATACAATGAAAAAAAAATATACAAGATCATTTATGACTAAATAAATATAATAAAACAGAAACAAACAATTATCTTCTGGAGCCTATAATTATAATGAACACGTAATTTATGAAAGAAGTTTCATTATTTTATTAGGATAAGAATTAGGAACACATTTTTTTCTTATCGACTTCCTACCAAACCAAAAAATAAAAATATTTGAAATAAAAAACCAGTTCATGCACATGGTGATGTAATAGGAGCTTTTTTTTATGTGAAAAGTTGCCAAGCGAGAAGGAGGTTCGCCTAATGTTAAGTGATTGCCACCGCCCATGAACATCTGCTACACCCGAGGGTTACAGATGCGTCGATAACCTTTCGAAAATTGGGCTCCGGCTACCTCACTCACCAAACGAAACGCGAAAGTATTTGTTATACTTCCACTTTACGCCGGTCTTCTGTAAGGTCGTGGTACTTACCCGGACGAGCCTGCCCAATTGTGCAACAGCCTAGGCTGCTGCATGGCCCTACTACTTTATCACAACACAATTCACAACATTTAAACACAGTTTATAGCTAACGGGACAATCTTTAGATTCCATCGAAGTCTGTTCTCTTTTTGTAGGATTCCGTACCCAAAAGGTAAAACGGGTCTCTAATACTAAGACTCCGCTGTCAATCTGTCTGTCTATCTGTCTTTCCGATCGCACCAGGCTGTATCTCATGAACTGTGATAGTTAGACATTAAAACATGTAGAAAAACTGTGATAGTTAGACAGTTGAAATTTTTCACATCAGGTATATTAATATGTGCAGTCTGATTCCAATACAAATTCTTTATTAATCTGATATCACGTTTTTAAATAAAACAAAATAAAACAAATTTTGTAATTGTTTGGTCAGTACATTGACCATGGACTCTAGAGAGTTCGAAACGTTGGGAATAGAATCAAATTTAAATGCGAAAGTACGTGGATTATTTTGATACATCTAAATTGAATATTATTATTAAACATTTAGAAATTTATAGGAAAAAGGACAAGAACTTTATAGGGGCTGCGAGGATTTGAGCCTGCGTTCTCCGAAATCTTAATTGAAGAGACTAGGACTATAAAAATTTTATTTATTTATTTATTTTTGTGTCATGTAGTTTATTTATTTGTACTTTGTTGCCTTAAACCTTAAAAAAGGATTAAAACTAACGAGCTGAATGCCTTTTGGCATTTTCTCCCAGTCAACCCCGGTCAGAAATTAATATCCCTTAAAAATTTTAAAACATCATTTATAACACAGTTTTAACTCTAATTATTATTTTTAAACGTTACCAATATGCTATTTCTTAAAAGGGATCAAACGACAAACGCTTAAATGAGAGCCATCTAGCGGTCAAATATCAAACAAAAATTTATTATTACGACTATTTAGTAAACGTATGTAATAAGAGATGGCGCTTGAAACTGTCACTAACATTACCATACATCGTGTGTTAAAAAGAAGAGTCATTAATGAATACTAAATATATTATAATAAAAAAATATACAAAAAATAAGGTCTACTATCATAAACTAAAAGAATTAAGTCTTCAATTTAATGTTGCAGCTAGCAGTAACAGTGCCAATTCTTCACTTGCGCAAAGGTTAAGTATAACCCACATTCACCAAGGAATGCACTACTTAGCATTCTATGCACAAAGGGAAATCATCGAGATTTGTTAGGTAATGTGTAACTTAATTAGTATTAGTCAACATTGAAATTGTATTTTTTTTTTTAATAAAAACGCAATTCCAATGAACAAACAATTAGAATTTTATAATCAGTATTTTATTTATGCTAACTATGTTGAGTATTTTATAAACATAAATGTGAATATGATTAACATAAATTCCTTACCATCACAACAAGTTCTTTTCCATTGAAAAAAAAATATCTAATAAAAATCAATGTGAGACGTGGTATACAAAATAGTAGTTTGTGTATTACAACTGTGAAATCCAAAACATTAATTACTAAACCTTTATTTACATTTATGACTACCAAATTTACTTAACTTGTACTCTGAAAATATAAATTCTCAAGTAAAAAAACAAAATATTTAAGTAATTCTGAAAACCAGTTTAACTAGCAAAAAAATTTTAAAATCCCTAAATCAGAATATTTCCCGTAATAAATTTGGCCTAAAAAGAAAAGATGACCATAAATTTATAAATTTTGCTAGTAACAAAAACAGATTTATTTTTAAATTTTGTTGTTAAATATATAATTTTAATTATTTATAAAAGCTCATAACATACCCTTTTAAGAGGAACTTTAAAGCAAATAATCCTCGTGCCTTCGATAATTTTACCACATGCTTTATATAGCAACCACCTGAAAACAAGATAATAACTGAGTAAAAAAATTTTGAGTCTGAGTCAAAATTCCAAAATTCGTTCATAGGTTAATTCTGTTATGAATATTAAGACCTGAAATAATATTGCATGAAATTTTAATGTGAAATAAGAAAACAATGATACCTACCTATCTGGAATTGCTGAAACCATTTTTTAAATCCATTTAACTATAAAAAGTAAAAGTAAGTAAAAGAATCATATAGTGGCATTTATGTATATTATTCGCATGTATATAAAAACTCAAGTTGTTTTCAATTTCAAATAATTTTGAAAACATTAAAAGGAAAATATTTATAAAAGAATAACCTCACAGTTAAATCACTTATGTCAAAGACGAGGCGGGCAGGGCAGTACTCAGCAACGATGAGATGAGCGTTAAATCAACGATTGACCGTTGATGTCTTGGCAACGTATTAACATTATTATTTTAATTCATCAACGACGTTTAGGAAATTATGTCTTCTTTAATAAAATCGCTCGTTGAACGCAAACGTACTAAATATATTTAAAAAAAAATAAATAACGTTAGAAATAACGTACTGAAAAGATGATTTATTTGAAACAATTTTTTTTAAAAAAAGATACCGATATTGTTTCTTTACTTTCACGAACGTCATTTTTAGATTCGGCTTCTTAAATTTTTTTTCAACAATTTTTCAACAGCTTGACATGCTTAAGATGCCTTTTTTGTAAATTTATTTATTTGTAATTGTATAATATTAATCCAGTCAGACGAATTTAATTCGTCGAACATTGCAGCATCTAATAAAAAACAAAGAATGAATATTGAATAGATTTCATTCATTCATGCTAATTGACCTATGTATCATGTAAACTAGTTGAGGAAATTAAATAGTTGAAGAACGTGAATCAACGTGTTGACGAAAAAACCTTCAACGGCCCATAGCTAATGGTCAGAGCAGGGCTGGATTTTGATACGATGAAAAAGATAGTACAAACAAATTATACTTTACAATGATAGTACACTTTAATTTTAAAAAGTAATTAATAATGTTAGCACTCTTCTTACAAGTTTATCAGCTCGTCAAAAATATAGCGGATATGGATACAGATCTTTTTTTTTCGACGGATATCCGTAGATAGGGATACGGATATTTTGAACATCATACAAACTTTACATACAAACTTTCGCGTTTATAATATTATTAAGTATGGCTTATATATGAATGTGACAGATAATATAGAACTTATGATGTGGAAAGAGATAGCATGCAATTTTATAAATTGCAATGTAACTACACCAATTGATGTAATTTGGGTGCCTCACTTTGAGTGTAATATCTATTAGTGTAATATCTTTGTTATATAATATCATTCATTTCAGTTACATTTTATACTTCAGATTTGGTGTTAACGCGCCCGGAGAGAACAAAGAAAGAGGCAGCAAAAGTTTAATATGGAGACTAGAATGACGGATGCACCACGAAATTTTTTTTACACTTATAATAAAGTGACAAACGCTTGTTGTCCTCTGTTTTCTTATTCTTTTAATTTCGCTATCCTTTTTATACCCTTCAAAAGTAACGTGTAAATGAGTGCTATCAGTGATAGTACTCTATCACTGTATGGTAATAGGAACACTTTCGACCGGTAATTTTGATATATATTCATATCTGTAATATAAAATATCAATGCTCTAATTATAGCAGAATGTAGTCTACGCAAACACCGTAAAAAGCAATTAACAATTAAGTGCAAAAATGTAAATTATTGAAGCTTTGTTGACATACGCTTGACATTTGAGTTTGGACTTTTGACATTGTTTCCAGGTGTCGGAAAGAAAAATGTTTCAATAATAAATTTAAATTTCGCTCGCATAGTTCTGGGATTTCTATTTTTCTATTTCAGAGTTCTATTTTTCTAGCTAACTGCATAAAATTCTAAGAGTTATAATACTTACATTCAATCGAAAAGAAAATGTCATTACAGTCGAAAAGAAATTAGTTTTATAATTTATATTTTGACACAAAGTTAAAATTTAATAACTTTAATACAACGTTCGACGGCTGTTGCTATGGGAACATGAAAAGAAGAACGTGTTTAATCGAATATTTGGAAGCTGTAGATAGCACTGGCTTTGAAAAAAGGATACGAGATAGTGTTTATATAAGTGAAACAAAAGATATGACTCATAAAAATACCATTTGGTTCAAATCTCTGTTAAATGCAGAGAAGTCTTGTTTGAAAGATGATAAAATAAAGAAAGTTCACTACAAGTTTCAGGACGAACGAGAAATGGTTGAAGAATATAATGTAGACACACAGGTTTTATTACGAAGAGCATGGAAAGTTAAAGGAAACTTGGGTGGTGAAGGAAAATGGCTTGTAGAAGTAGGTGATCCTATTCCAGAAGTTAACCCTAATAATGAAATTGCTGATATAATAGAATCAAAAGACCAGGTAACAATTTTTAATTATCTTTCAATTCATTTGTAACGAATATTGCATATTAAACTTTTATCTTTCAGCCTGTTGTAACAAGACGTAATACTAGAGTAAATTTAGAATGGAGAATAAGAAACTTGCCATTCCCAATTGAAACTTATTCAATTAAAGTAAATAATGACAGTAAATGCATTACAGTCAGTACAACGAATAAAAAATATTATAAGAACTTAGAAGTTCCAGAACATTCAAGACTTAATTTACCATTACAGCAAGCTAATATTCAAGCATCCCATAACTTTAACACCTTAATTATTACGGTAAGTATATCTTTTAGATTTCAAATATTACTTATTAATAATATGATGTGAGTTCAAAAACAAAATCTGTTTTAAAAATGAATTAACATGGAGCAAAGCAGTATTTATTACCTTGCAATTGTAGAGATACATTAAACCAAATTTAGAAATTAATGTCTATAAAGTAAAGTAGTAAACTAACAGCCTATACATGCCCCACTGCTGGGCAAAGGCCTCCTCTATACAGAGGGTATCAGGGCATAGTCCACCACGTGGCCCCACTGCAGATTGGCAGACTTCACATATTTTCAAAATATATTTTTTTTTGTTATTATTTCGAAAATATGCAGGTTTCCTCACGATGTTTTCCTTCACTGCAGAGCATGTGATAAGTCAGCACTTAAAGTTAAAACCTTCATTGGTGCCGGCACGGGGGATCGAACTCAGGTTGCTCGAGTATATTGAATTAAGGCGAGCGCCCGGACACTGAGTTATCACGGCTCTTAAATGTCTATAGTTTTTAGTTAATTAATTTATACAATGTTATATTGTATCAAGCTCTCAAAGTTGGCAACTTGCGCTGAACAAGCATTTATAAGTTACAAATAATTGTTCTAGATCTAAATCTTTAATTATTTATTAATTAATTTAAAGTTACTGATTTTGGTAATTTTTTTTTGGATACTGATTAGGTTTAAATTTTTATATTAAGAGAGTATTATTTAATCTTATTAATTGAATATATTTAGGGCATTAATTATATAGTTTAGTTTTTGGGTACATGTAAATCTACAGAAAATAATCAGTGCATGAAAATATTCTACTTTTTATGCGAGAATGTTTTTACATCAGATGTTTACAGATTTATCAGATGTTTTTTACATATTTGTTTATAGTAACATTTGGTAACTACATGAGAAATTGCTTGATTTGTTGTTTATTGTATTTAGTTCTAAATTTTGTGTCATAAAATGATACATTTTGAATTATAATGACAATTAATGTATAATGTTTTAATTTTTGTGGTGGAATATTTTTAGTATAAAAAGCCACAACAGCTTCTAGACATGGAGAAGGAATGGTTTGAAGAATTGAAAAAGGTAAAGCCAATCAAAGATATCCCAAGTGACTGCAAAACTCAATGAACAGTGGGCATCTTTGGAAAAATATTAAGATTTTTTTCTATTTTACTGAGAAGGTTTCAAAAATAAGTCAAAATAAATAAAATAATATTTACAATTACTCCTCTTTCACTCATTTCACACAATTACAAAATCTTAAGACATTCAATAGATATAATTTAAAAGGTAAGCTATTCATCCAAAGTAAGAGCTTTAGCTTGCTTTTTTAATTCTTCCTCATCTTCTTCTTTATCAAGTAGCCCTCGTGCTTTTAGATATTCACCATACTGTTTTGGTATTCCCATGAATGTCTTAATCTTTCCCCGCAATTGCTTCCATGTTTCTTGATAGTAGTTTTTCTTATCCTTTTCCATAGCTTTATAATCATGACCATATTTATCTAAAAGGTAAGATATAAACTCCACTTGCCCTTTTGGTAACCTTAAACAGATAATGGAGAATGCTAATTATGTTGAAAAAATTAATGGAAAAAGCTGGATATTTCACTTTTATTAATCTTAAAAGCTAATGAAATTACTCTATTATTTATACAATGGTAATATTTTATCTAGTAGTTAGTTGTAGTGTGACTAGAACATCAAGAATTTCTTATAATCAGACAATAATGCTATTTTATACTACTAATACCAAAATGTATGCTGAGAAATGCATGTAACATTGAATATCTTAAATCCAATATATATAAATCCAATAATATGTCATATGGACAGAAAGCTAAACATCACCTATAGGCAGTAAATACTAATAAAACATGGAAGCTGCATATTCATACAACTGATTTCTAAGAAAGAGCATCACAACTCTCACTGACATTTATGCATCTACAAACAAAAATAAACTTATTTGTTAGTTCAACTAGGTTAACTAAACTTCTACATCCCTAAATCAGCCTCGCAGTATGGTTTATGAGAGTATACAACAGCAAAAGCTGCTGCATGGCCCTACAATAGACACATGTGTAAATAGTACTATTCCTCTGGCATAAGAATTAGTAAAATAAGGTTGAGTGCGAATGGTTTTTATACACATTAAATGCTAATTTTTATTGTTAAAAATGTTTGGCTTAACCCCATAATACATACATAAATCTTCGTTCTCTGGGTGCTTTAGCTTCCTTTTCTAATTTTTCCGCAACTTCTTTTTTCACAGGTAACTGAGGGACCTCTTCTTCAACATGTTCTATTTCACCTCTATTGACAATTGCCTTGGCCTGTTTGAACTTCTCTTGTTTAAAATTTGGTATTTTTATTACTTTATTTGGGTCGTTAGCCAATCCCATATCAGCTAAATTATTAAGCGATGACTTTTTATGGTCCCACGCTTCTTTAATAACTTCACTGTAATAAATTAATAAGTAAATAAACTGCGAACTTCTTTATTAATTAAATAAATGGGTATTAAAATTTACACACCATGCTACGGTGCCAGTATTCCGTTGTTTTTTATGCATCCTTTTACGATTTAACTTGTGGAGATATTTCTTTTTACGATGTTGCTTTTTTACTTTCATTGTGTTTTTATTTTATTTATAAGCAAAATATTATTGTATTCCAAAAAATAGCGCAATTTGTATTATTCAACACAAGTCACACTTCAATTTTAAATGTCAAAGTGACATTTTCACCCATGTGCATATGCGTGCTACAGAATAAATTTTTAGTGCTACCATAATTGTTTTAGCTTCAAAGTACACATAAGTAAAAGTAACGGCAAATGTAAATAACTTTAACTCTGGCGTAATTAATTAAAATAAATTTTAAACGACAGAGAAAAATCAGTAATGAATTAATCAACAAGCAGAATTCGGCGGTCGCTTATAGTTTTCGAGAAAAAAATATTTAAAACTTGTTAATTTTACTAAGAATATTACCATTTTATTTATTTGACTTCAAAAACTCAATACACAGTTCTATATAGGAAGCGGGCGACATCATACTCGTATCGATAGTCCGATTTTTTTTTAATTCAATGCGTCACAGAACCTACACAGAGCGAATCCGACTCGGATAGATTACTTTAGAAGGTTCAGGCGCCTTAACCTTCGAGGTTAGGTTATTTTTTTATGACCACCAAGAAATACGAGCAGAATTGACATATTGACAACAACAAAATGGCGGATTTCTATAGTAGTAGCGAAATATTCAATATCGAAATCGTATCAAAAACAATATTTAATCTGGGACAGATTCCGTCCGTTCATTCGTTCATTTTTTTTTGGACAACGGCAGGCCTCAAAAAAAAATATCGATATTTTCTCTTCGATATTTCGTGATCGATATTGATGTTTGTATAAATATCGATATATAGATATATATTATCACTTTCGACATCCCTACTTCGATACCGGGCGGCGGGCCATAAAATCCACAAAAATATATTTTGCACAATAATATCGATGATTTTGTACTATTAATAGCCTGTTACTGGCTATCGTAAGTACAAACCAATCAAGGTTATCTTTTGTCAAAGACTAATAACAATTGCAATACTATCGATACCATCGCATGCATTACTATCGATAGTATTGGTGTTATCAATAGTATTGGCACTTGAAGAGCCATCGATACTATCGGTAGTATCGACAGTATTGACGCGTTACAATACTTCTTCTTAATCGGACACTCTTGGCAGAGTGGTCGTGGCTGTCGATGGACAGGATTGCGTTTCGTCGTCGCTGTTCGCTTCCAGGGCAGCCGCACGACTTGCGATGTTCCTCCATTCGAGGCGGCTGTTAGCAATGCGAGCACATTGTACTGCGGTTGCTTTCGTAGTGCTCGTGATGAGGTCAATCCAGCGCGTGGGGGCTCGTTAGTTACAATACTATCGATAGACTAACCATACTATTGCTTTTACCTTAACCATTGATAGATAATATATTGTCTATCGATAGCAGACTATAATTATGCAACACTAGCTTAGGCCTTACAGGCCTTAGGCATTGGGCATTGCCATTAAATAATATCAATTAGCGATGAGTCGTTGAAGGTATTTTCTTCAACTTAACGTTAACGTTGATTCATGTTCGTCAACTAGTTGATCAACTAGTTAAATTCGTCAACTAGTTAATGTGACACATACATAAGTATGTTAAATTGCAAGCCCTTTCTTCTACTAGGGAAAACGGATGAAAGCTATCTATGCATAAATCTAACAAATCTGAATTATTTTTTTTCTTTTGTTCGAAACTAATTTTTTTTTTCTTATCAAAATCAACCATCATACGCTGAAGATTGGTACTAAAACACTGATGAAAATATTTAAATATATTTCCGCTTCAAGTATTTTTTAAAGTTAGTGGTCAATTTGTTCCAAATTTTCTCCTCGGAAACATTACAAACATCTTTTCCGCTAGAACTGTCTTTTTAGGTATGAAGCCATAACTCACTGTTAATACGTTCAATTATTTTGAATTTTGTACCCACAGTTCTCTATACACTTATATAATCATAAATTAAAATTAAAAAAAAAAACACTGACCACAAAGTAAAATTCTGATACTTAAACAAAACTAATAACATAAAATAAAATTCCAAATATAACTAATTAAAAATTAACAAATTCTCAAAAAAAACCACTAAACATGAAGTAAAGTTCTGATAATATTTACGCAAAGCCGAAAAATATTCTATAACCTTGTGCGCAACTATTCATAAACTGTCAAACAAAAATAAAGAAAGCGAACTTAAACATGTCCTTCATAAAATTAAACAAACATTTCAACTCAACTCTGTGACGTTTTTTACAACGTAAGTTTTTTTCAACGTAAGGTTTTCAATTCGTTACGCTTATGTTCCGTTGACTTAACGTATCGTTGACTTAGTTTTTAAACGAATTGATTCAACGACAAAATTTCCGAAACGACGTTAACGAATTCAACTAGTTGATTTCAATGACAGTTAAAGTTAATTCGTTAACAAGAGATCAACGGTTGATTCAACTAGTTCGTTGATTCAACGCCCATCGCTAATATCAATATGTCATGTAACTCACATTATGAAATAAAATGTGTCAAAATCAAATGAATATAGGGTTTTAAGCTTTTAAGGTTATTTTGAATTCTTGCTGTTTAAAAATTTTTTTGAGGGAGTAAACTGGAACTAAAAAATGCATAAAACTGGTGCAACGAGATATCAAAAGTTTCTCAAGTCTGAGAGAGCCAAAACTAAGTTAAAAGGCAAAAAAGAATTACCGAAAGGAACAAATGTCACGAAAACTAATTTCAAAGTGAAAAAAATTGTTATCAAGGAACAACTAAAACAACATAGCCAAACAGAAGTTTTATCATCTAGGAAACTAAATGCCAAGGACTTGTTGTCTCGACTTAGTCATTTTAATACTAATGCTCGATTAGATGCATTAAGTGGAATAAAAGAACTTTTAACTATCCACAGTAAATCGCTCGTAGAAAATCTTGGTCATATTATTCACGGTGTAACGCCATTGATTTTAAACGTGGAAAAAACGGTGAGTATTTGTGCATTTCGGTTTAGATTTACTTTTTTATTCATCTCTATAGATTTGCTTAGCACAACTAAAACAGAACACAACTAACTTTTCTAAGAGTCGTTCGTGCTATTTTACTTTTTACATTTCGGAAGTACCTACAGTTTGTAAATGTTTTAAGAAATTAATGTAATAAATGCAAATTAATGTAGTTCTTTTAATATTATTTCAAAAACCTGCAGGTTTATTCACTATGTTTTCCTACACTTCTGAATGTTTGATAAGTCAGCACTTAAATTTGACAATTGCACTGGTGCCAGCACCAGGGATTAAACTCAGGTTATTCGAGTATATTGAATTAAAAATTAGCGCCTTGACAATGAGCTATCCCGGCTATATTAAATGATATGTATAATAACTTAGAAATTATCTTTCAAATAAATGTACTGTTACTAAACTAAGATTATCACTACTAATTTGTTTACATTTATTATTTTCATTACAAGAACTGTAATAGTATTTGTTTGAGTTGATTTTTTTTTTTAATTATTTGAATTGAAAATGTAATACATTATAATTTTTTTTATTTATAGGTACGATGGGAATCGGTCAAGGTGGTCCATTTGCTTTTGAGTAATGTTGATCTGGAGAAAATTGATCCATATTTTGATGTACTATCAACTTATCTAAGAAGTGCAATGACACACATTGATATTAGAATTCAAGAAGACTCATTATTATTTCTTGATGTGTTGTTACAATGCACCCCAAAACTAATAGCAAATGATTTCCATAAAATAATACCTAATTTTTTGGACATGATATCAAAAATTAAAATGGATTCAAAACAAGGTAGAACTTTGACAGTTAATTTAAACAGCCAAATCACAAGTGTTAAATGGAGAGTTAAAGTATTTCACCGACTGCAACAGTTTCTGTTTAAATTTGCAGAACTAAATGAACTTTACAAAGCTGAACACATAACTGACAACATAACACATGAGTTTAATGATCAGAGCAGAAATCATTTTCCTTTATTCAACCCAATTTACACATCGGTGTGTACAGTGACCTGCTTTTCATCTAAAACATTGCAAACAATTGTTATTACTGATGAAGTAGAAAAGTTTAAATCCTATGTAGACACATTAATGCCTTTACTCTTTGAAATTTGGCTTGAAGCTTGCCCTACAGGAAAATCCGATAAAAATATTGAAACAGTTATAAATGAAGATGCAGCAATTTTATTAAAACATACACTTAAGGTGATTTCTCTACTTTGGAAGCTTGTTGAACATTTTAACAGAAAATATCCGACTTCAATGATTCAAGAAAATTTTACTCAAAAATATAGGTCATCATTCAGCCAGCACTTTGTCACTTCATTCCCATATGTTACAAACATACGGTCAAAGTTACAAAAAACTACAGATTTTTCATCTGAGGATGTTATTACTGACTCAAAGTTAATCACAGAAAACTTGGAAATATGCCATTTGTACATCTTAATAAATCCTAATGCTAACATTAAGAAACATTATGCAGAAATCATTTCTGTGCTTAATTATATTGAAAAAAATTTCTCCAATCAGTCTCAGGATAGCATCACAGATACAGTGATTAAAATATTGTATACAATATTCTCAAATCATGTAAACAGTTGGACAAAAACATATACTGTATTGGAATCGTTGTTTAGAAAAATTGTTCACTCTTATTTCAATGAAAATTTATGTAATGCTTTCAAACAACAAATATTTGGATTGCTGTGTAAAATTGCCATCAATGACCATTTGGTTAATTTTCATAGTAGCAAGGCATATGAAACTTGGTTAAAGAACTTATCAGATGTATTATTAGATGAAAGTATAAATTCTGAGACAATTGATATACTTTTTAAGTTTGCAGTAACTAATAATAAAGTTTTTAATAGTGTTATAAAACTTAAATTAAACGACATTATAAAGAACTTACCAAAACTTAAAGTTTGCAATACTACAAATAGCAGAGGTTATTATAAGTTGTTTTCTTTGTTGTACTGGGTCAATGTTTGGGATGAGGAGTCTTTTAACTTATTAGAGCATCAGATAATGAACAATGAATATAATAGTGATTATGGCAAATTCATTCTGGATGTGTTAAAATGTAGAAGTGGTAGTTTGTGATATCATCAATTAAACTGATTTGTAAATTTCTGCCATTTTATTTAATTCAAACACCAAATTCCGTTACATTGCATGGTCAATTAGCAGATTGTACAGAATTACCGCGAATTTGACAGTAACACTTTATTCGGCAGACGAAATTTAACACCAAGGGGTATTTATAGCCATGGATAGCGTAGATCGTTGTACATTTTGTGCATGTCTCGCAATGGAATTTTGAAAGTCTATGCCATGGAAGAAAATTCTCCCCTTGTGATCTTCGAGATAGTTCTGTACATATTTGACAACAGACAATAACACTAATCAGAAGAAAGTAATAAACATAATTTACAAAGTTATTGTGTACCAAAACAAACAAGTATTCACACAGACATGTTGCAGTAACATAATATCAGAGTATATGCATACACACTACTTAACGATAATTATGATGTGAAGACGTTGAATAAATTTTGAACGGTTGTATAGGATCTTGGAACAAAATATTTGATTAATTTTCAAAAACACACAACTGTCAAAAAAATATTCAATTCTCTTGTAGCAACACGTTTTTAATATTGGTGAGTACATAACATAATGGATAATGTACTCGATGTCACCTATCGTATAAGGTATTAATTAAATAAAAATGGAATAGTGTCAACATCTTTGGCGTTTACAACATTATGGCGCAAAATACCGCAAAGCGAGAAGTCATTTAAAATATGGATGGGTTGTTATGAAATCTCCATGACGCAGAACCACTAATGCGTAATGTATTTGAGTCAAATTATAAATTTCCTGCATAAAGAATATTAAGTTCTTTTATTTGTTTAAATATAATGTAAATATTAGATTTTTTTTAATTTACAATATGTACTGGTATGTGTATCGCTTATTGTAGGTTGGATTTAAATTATTAAAGTTGTAAAATAATCATTGTACGGTTGCTAAACCTGATTATCGGCGCGCATATAAGGTTAGACAGCCTATATAGGGTCATGGTCAAGGATGACTGCGCTCTCTCTTATTGCACTTATTCTTTGCATTGTCAGAAAGCAGAGTTGACTCTACTAGAATTTATCTAGCAATTATAGGAAACACTAAAATACATGATTCAATTGATTGGGGCATATTAAGATGTTTCAATTATTTACCAATATTAAAAGTTTGTTTTCTTCTTATTTTCACAGTCTTCATTCTGCTTTGAATTTTAAGTTTTATTAAACATATCTAAGTATTTTATAGCTACTATGATAAAACAAAAAAATACAATCATAGACCTTAAGCTGACCTAACATGATTAAGTCATGACATTAGAATGTAATGTAACATAGCTTTGGCAAATTTTGGCCGAACGTATTCCAATTGATTAAAACATGATTGTACCAAAAAAAAATAACAGTACCGGAATTGCAAGTAATAAAACAGCTCTAAACAATTTTTTGAGAATTATGTCCTCATAAACAAATTCATCTAATTATAAACATTCCATTTTGCATTCCATGCTATTGAATAAACTGGTAACTCTGATAGCTTTTACTCCGTAAACTATATTTTCCCTTTTTACGGAATAAAAAGATACTGCTGAGTAACATTAATGAGATAAATTACTTTATTAGAGATCGTTTGGATTCTATAAAATTCGCTATAATAATCTTTTAAAATCGATTTTCCTTTAGCCATTTTCGTACCACTTAAATATTAAACAAATATTCACTATTTTAATACAGATGTCATATGACTAATATTAATACTGATGAAAAGTAATTCAAATAAAATTTATTTAATTCATGGTCTTATCATTCCAGCAGTACAATTCAATGCAACGCAGATGGTAAACTTAATTTCACCTAGGTATTGAAGGATTTTATTCAACATTGACAGAGTCGAACTATAAAGCTGTGAAAGGGGGGGCCTAAAACAGTACTGCACATAGACATTCATGACTGAACTTAGCGAGGCAATAGGGTAAAATGTATAATTGCTAGAGTTGTTATTTTTTTTTTTTTACAAACCGCCGTGCGTGTTGTTTTAAACTGGACAGAACAACGAATTAACGAAGTAGAAACCCGGTCGTTACGGTGCTATTGGCTAAGTTTCAAAATACGTGTATTTACCGATATCTGTAAATGGTTTACAGTTGCCATGAGTATGGAATTTACATTGACTATTGAGTTTTCCTTTTACTAGATTTTTTTGTGCGGGGTATTGTAGCAGATGCGGACAGCATTGCCTGAAAATAAAACAAAAAAAAATTGAAAACTAATTCCACAAGCGGAAGCATTTCATAATTTGGATATATTTACTGGAAAAAAACTAAGCAATAACGTTATGTACGGTATGCTTGAAAGCGACATTTAATTATAACACTGACCAAACACTGACCAATGGGAAACTGTAGGGATGAAATTATTATGCATACGATATTGACTAGATAACAGAATTATATATTTATTACCTTTATATGTTAAAAAAATACACTCATTTTATATAGTAGGCATTTTTCCTTCGCCCTTATTCAATTATTTATGATATAACATTTTGAAAATGCCGACATTTCTGTTTTACATATTGTGTTTAGTAAAATGAATTATTAAATTACCAGCCAAATAGTTTCCTTACAGTGACAACAAATTATAACACCTTAAATAATTCTGTGATCTAGTCATGATAGTATGTACACCTCTAACGTGTAATTTTTGATTTAGACGCATGTTCCATAACATATAAAACCACCTCCATAAAAATAGAACAGACAACATACAGACAACGAAAAGATTTCTCTAGGAATTAAGGGACTTTACGGCTATTTATAAAGCTGAAAAAACGCAAAAAAATAAAAAAAAAGAACACGACATGCAAAATCAGTATGAAACAACACAACAAAAAACAAAAAAAAAATAAGTTAAACATACTGTTTTGCAGTGCTGGCATTTATGACTGACATAAGGTAATGTTACACATCTGTACTTTTTGAAGTGGTCTGGATTTCATATTTAGCATTTAAAGGAACAAATTTGTATTCTGGATGACTTTCTATTTTAGCTACGATAAGTTTCTGTAGTACATCACTCTTGTCGATAATATTTTTCGACGTGGTTTCGGTATCAGATTCATTCGCAATTTTAAAACCGGTTTCTTCCCGAGAGTTTTCTCTTATAGGTACTTCAACTATAACACCAGTTCCTTCAGAAGAAATTTCAGTATTTTGGAAGCCCTCGTTAAGATCATCCGTAGAAGTTCTTCTACTTTTTTCACCGGAAGAAACGGAGAGATCATCAGGTAACGGTTTCTCATCGGCTTTATGCCAAAAGGCTAATTTACTTGGCAATTGTAATAATTTACCAAAGCCGGAAGGACTCTGTTTTGGTAACCTTAGCGGTGATTTAGAGTTTTGTCGCGTTTTATTATAATTTACTGGGCCGAGATTATCAGGACTATAGTAAGATTGATTCTCATTTTTCATATTATTCGGTTCGAGACCTACTGCGATACTCTCTTCTTTAGACGTTTTATTATTATCACTACCCTCAGTACATTCAGTATGTTGAAGGTTTTCTTCTTTTACTTTAACCACTACTGGTGGCAAAGGCGCCCTGTTTTTGCCATATTTTCCTTTCGACTGTTTTCGATTAGTAGTAGGGGAATCGCTTGGTGTCCCGTAAGAGGCTTCGTCGTCTGAAGAATAGTCATCAGATAGGGGTTCTGCAAAGTCGTCTGCTGAATTTTCAGTTTCATTTACGATTTCATTCGTTAACTCTTTTTCATTAATCTTACGATTGCTATTATTTTTATTATAAGGAGTTACTTTTGTAAATTCCGTATTAGCATCAGCTACATTATGGTTAGATTCTAAATTATTATAATTATTTTTACCGTCAGCTATTTGGTCCTTGCTTGAACACCCTTCGGTGCTTTCTGCTTTATCTTCTTTGTCACTGTCTAGAGTCGACATTAATAACTGTGGAGGAATGTTAGATGGTGTGTCGTCTATGGAATTACTTTTTTCTGAGGAATTATTTAAAGAGCAGTGGTCTTTCTCTAGATTTTTATTTGAAGAAAATTCCGTTTGGTTCTCCTCATTGTATATATTATGTTTTGAACTTAGTTGGTCATCCAGTGGTAATTGGCCAAGCACTTTTATAATTTTTACCTGATCTCCAACGTATTGGTAAATAAACGGTGGATTTGTGTGGGATAAGTAAAGATGGGACGATATATTGACAAGGGAAGGCATATCCCTATAACTATTTGAATCGTCGTCTGGTATCTCCTCGATGAGAACTTCGTTATCCTTTAAATAAAAATGCCTTAAGTCTAAATCAAAATAAAGAAGAAAAAGTAAAGTAATAAATGCAAACGCAGACTTATAAAAAGGAAATATAGCTAACATAGAAAAGAAAACATGCATTAAAATTAATTAAAATAAGGACATACATTCTTATATTAATAAAGAGCGACGTGAACAATGCCATCTATCTTATTTAACATATGTTTATTGTACATCGGGCTTTACGTTATAATACCGAAAGACTAATACTGAAAGGAAATATTATATCCAGAGATACGGGTTATAGTCCTTTTGAGGACATACACAAGAAACGTAACATAATTATGAGTTTATTATCGTTCTAAGATTTTAATCATGATAAAACCAATTTTGTTATAAATAGTTATAAATATTATCAATATTTCTGTATGTGACATATAATTTATTGGTATTTTGATTACAAATGTTGAGCCAGCACCGACACTACCCTGCCTTACAATGTTTCCATATGCCAATTTTCTTCCTTCCATTATTTATATATTTTAGTTACATATAAAAACGGTAGAGTATTATCTTGTACACAATTAAAATGTCTATGTTACGATTAACACAACTTATAAATACTTAACTTCGAGGATTTAATTAAAGCAGTTAAGATAAATTAATGTCGTGATCGATTATGCTATAGTATCCGCAATGGAAACTTTTCGAAGCGAAATGAAATAAATATAGAAAGCGATTCTCTTGGCACTATATTTATGATACGTGCGTTTTTCTTTTCAATAGATTAAAAATTTAATGGCAGTGTTTTCAGTAATGTACTTTATAATGCAGGGGTGGCCAACATTATACCACGGAAGATTTTTTGTTCTTATTTTAAAATGTGTACAATCTTATTGTCATAGGCGTGGTCAAAAGGAGTACGGATGTGTTTTGAAATATACATGCTATGAGTCTATGCAGTTTATTAAGAATTCCGAGTAATCGAGCGTTTTAAATTAGCTTTACTACCAAGATGTTGGCCACCACTGTTAAAGAGGATGGACGAGATTGTGCTTTGTTTTTTGTTAAAGTAATAATCGCCGTCCGATGCAAAAAGTACACAGCACACAGCTCAATGTACGATGCAAAATACACGATTTTATTACTTGTCAAAACGTGTGATAGATCGGTTCGAGAACTTGCGTTTTTTACTACTGCGACGGTAAAAAAAAACCTAATCAACCAGTTTAGTACACTCGTCCTATACTGTCTTAAACGCTGCGACGCGTACTGCTCTAGCTTAGAAACCCATAAAAATCGCCGGATGGACATCTAAAGCCGGGAGAGTCTTGCCGTCTTGCGCTTCGGGTCGTTCAACAGTGGGACGATGGGTTGTCGTCCTCGGGCTTTGAGCGTGACGACGGCGTGGGCGTGGGCTCGGGCTCGGGCGTGGGCTTGGGCGTGGGCGTGGGCGTGGGCGTGGGTTACCAGACCTCGGCGGCGGGCGGGCGTTTGATCGCGGTGACGGCAGCGGCGCGGGGCGTTCGAGCGCGCGCCCTCCCCGCCGCGCCAACCGAGCCGGCGCGCGTCAGCCCCGCCGAGTTGTCCGCGCTCGAGTAGCCCGAGCTGATGTCCTCCGTCGACTTGATGTGGCTGCAACGGAGCGAGGACTGTCGGTACGGCTAGTAGCGTCGGCTTTTACGCGAATGGGCGGGCTCGTCCGTGGATACCCGCCGACGGCCGTATGGGCCCCGTGAGGGGTGCTAGTTGCACCGGCACGGCACCATTTGGCCGGCCGGATCGGGTTTCCTATTACCCCGGGAGAAGAGGCTCTAGAAGCCATAGTCGCGCAGGGTCACGGAAGATTACGTCCACGTGTTTCCGTGTCTCGTGGGGTTGCGACAGAGACATGTTTTTCTATAAGGGATTTTTCCTCATCCGGAGAAGTACCAGTGTGTATTACACTTACGCGTGTCTTCTGTTGACTGAAATTAAGGGCAGACTATTTTAATGTTGGCAACGCACCTGCAACTTTCGGCGGTCATCACATAGGCATGGGGAAACCTTCATGTGAAAAAGTCGAACCCGGCTGAATCATTTACATTGTATTTACACGATTGGATTGATTGTTTGTATTCTACAAACTATCTAATTCTGCATTTAAACCCTTATATACCTTAATTTATATATGATGTACCTGAAATCGGGCTCGTCACTTCTACTGGAGCGGGTGCTCCTCACGTCCACGTCCACTTCCGGGAAGTACATCGGCTGGCGGCTGTTCGATTCCGAAGCGCTGCGCCGAGCCGCAAAACTGCTGCAATGTACAGAGAGAAACGTATATTATTACACGGTTAAAATATTGTTGATTTTATTCATAATCTAGTATTTAGTCCAGTATCGGTATTAATCCTGGACAACCTTAGATGCAAACACTTAGGGTTAATTTACAACATCATGTAGTTCGTTGTCGCCTACGAGCACGATAAAACCATCATGCCGCGTAAAAAGGTACACCCTTGATGTCAACGTTGACAACCAACGATTTCGTTTTTTATTAGTTGATAAAAAAACATTTCCTCTTGTAGGCTAACATTATCCTGTATTGAAAAGGGGACCTAGATCACAGACAATTATCTATGGGTCACACAAGTAATTGTCTTGTGTGGAAATCGACTAACCGGCGCTGTAGCCCATACCCTGGCAACTGTGCCACGGGATCATTAAAATCAAAACACTCGATCGCCACCAATACGCCATGACGGTCCGAAGGCGTCAATCCTCTCATTTTGTTAATGCACACCCTCTGCTTAGTTAGGGCCTATTAATTACGTGGAAACCTAGCCTTTCCTCGATTTCGTCGATGAATCTTTATACAGTCTATGGACTGAAAGCGCAAAAATCGATATGAAATTAAAAAAAAAAAAACAAAATTGGGCGAATTTACTGTCTTCCAAATAAATGAAATAAAACAAGACAAAACGTCCCATGTAAAAATAATGAACACGGGGGTGAACTAGAAACCCATATCATTTACAGTACCCAAAGGCAATAACTAAATTTTAGGGACACACTGCGTATTAGATCCAGTTAGTTCATTCATGTACTCTATGATTATTATTATTAGTCCATCATTGACGGTGTGGACGTCCGCACGTCACTTAATTCACAGCACAGGCCCACTGAAAACCAGCGCTGTAGTCTCGCACCGACTGCAGCATTAAGCTGAGTGCGGTCTGTTTGTAATATGTGTTTCATTATTTTTTTTCTCTTTCTTTTTACTATGTATTTTTTATGTTTGCGGTTTAAATGTACATGAAGTGTATTTGTGCAAAAAATGTTTTCTTTCTTTCTTAATTTCTCACCTCTTCACCGCGCGCCTTATCAGCCTCGGCTCGGCTAGCACGTCGTCGGCTTCATCAGCGGCGCGTTCCTCCCGCGGGTCGCACTCCGTCAGGTCTGAGAGGCTGTAGCTCTTGCGCAGCTGTTGCACGAGCCCACCGCCCCCCTGGCGATGCACAATTCCCGTGAACGCAAAACGAAGAGAACTGAAGTCCAGACGGATCAGTTTGTTTGCCATGATACGCAATTTGGTGGTATTACAAGTTGTAGGGAACGTGGCGCGGATAGCGAGTGGAGAACAGGTGGAGTTGTGGAGAACAAGATATAAATAACGAGTGGTTGTGGAGGAACAAGACGCGGATAGTAAGTAGTTGTGAAGAATGAGGCGTATACATAGTGTTTATCAATAAAAAGGAGAAAAAGCCATTTTAGAAAATATTCACTATGAAACATGGGTCATAGAACTCATAGTTTCGAAGATAACACTGATTTTCGTTCAATTAGTACGTAAAAAGTCTCCAGTATGATGAAACCTTTCTTTAAAGACGTTGTCGCACCGATACTGATTTATTTATGGTAGGAAATTTGTATGACTTACCAAAAACACTGCAAAGTCGTGGAGGACAATGACTCGATTACACGAAGTTGTGGAAAGAAAAGGACGTAGGTACCACGTATTTGTGAACAACTAATTTAAGATATATAATATTTACTAATTGCGGATCGAGGCAAATAAACTTACTGTTTTATTGGAGGGGCTAAATCGAATATTAACAAGTAAATTATTTTACGTTGAGAATAAAAGTAATTCGAATTATTTTCGAAAATAAATGTATCTTTGTTTCAGTGGAAGAAAGAAGCCAATAAAAAACGATTTTCGCCTAATAGACCATAACTTTTAACGCCCACATATCAGATTGACTTCAGTGGCAAGTACCATTTATCTAGAATTATTTAAAATTTCAATTAAATCCAATATTAAAAGTGAAAAATACTAATCGCTTTAAAAATGCGAAAATTGCTCTATTAAATATAAATTGTTATACGAAATCGTCACGACAAGTCATGTGTCTCACGTGCGTATTGCATTACTAATGCAAAGATATTCAGATGCGTTTCTCATTCCATTCGTAATTGTGCTTTTCAATGTCGGTTTTTAAATAAGTCTGTTCTAAGACTATAAACGATTTTTAACAATTTTCTTCCACCACTAATATAGACGTCGCTACAGTTGTTAAAATCTTTAAGGTCGTTATGAGTGTTATGTCAAAAGAGTTTAACAGAGTTCTGTTTGTTTTTAAATTTATCTTACCCCCTTTAAACAAGTTCAGCAGAAGACGAAATATATGGATACGGCAGGTGCAAAAACAAACGCAACTCTAAAAATCGTGAAAAATGCAAACAAAGACAAATTCCTCGAGCTTAAATTTGCAAATTTAGTAAGGATTTAGATTGTAATATTTTAGTGCGACTAAAGCAAAAGTTATATGAATATGTAAAGCAAAAGTCACTTACCCTTCACTCCTTGGTATAGTTCGTTAATCGGGCGAGTTTGTTACGAATACTCATGGCGTTCATGCGGTTTAACATCGTAGTGTTATGCAAATCGCACGTTTAAAAATGAAAACTCTAATGAAATCACATAGTTTTATTGAGAAATCATACGTATAATACATTAAACTAAGTCAGTCACACGTAATTAAAACCTAAGAACACAACATACGTAGCAGGTGACTGCGAAATCGTGGAGCATGCAGAAATTTGACTACAAACTCATTGGTCATGTGATGTACAATAGTCGATGACTGAGATTTAGCGTCTTAATGTAAAAAGAAAAGTAAACATGTTAAAAAATCCCTAAAACGTATTGTATATTGCATTTTTGGTATATGATCGGTTAACAGTCGATGGTGCAGCAGACGCGCAGAGGAACTTTAGCGACGAAACCTGACACGCGAAAGCGTTGATTACGCGACTCTACGGTTGGAACCAAACTAACCTATAATGTAAAAACTAGCCAAGGGTAAAATCTAGAGTTAAACGAGTCTAGAATCAATAGAAAATAGGCCAATTTAGGACTGCGGATCCGTCGAGAGCGCGTATCGATCGTTCTACAATCGTCTAAGGATCACAGTTGAGTATCGAATCGTTCGTCTTGAGCTCACTCGACCGCGAGCTCCTTCCCTTTGTCTATGGCGGTCTGGCTTCGAGTGCGGCGCCCCCTAGACTTGCTTCGCGAACTCTTCTCCTTGGCCGTCTTACGTTTCCTCACGCCGTTCGTACGCCCGCGCACTGGCTGGTAGTCAGGGTCGTTGTCACCAGCACCATCGAGGACCTGACGTTCCTCCTCGGGCGCGCTTATCTCCAGTATCTCGAGACCGGGGGATTCCCTCTCCTCAGCCCGCTGGTACTCGAGATTGTATGCCTCCCCGTAGTCGGTCACGTCTCGCCCGACTATAGCCCTCCTACCGTCGACCGCTCGCTCGGCATTCGGAATGTTGAAATTCTAATCGTGGCGGCGTTGGAAGGGGATCACGGAATAGAACGGGGATCGATGAGTGGCGGGGGGTGGGGTGGAATTAAAAAAGCGTGTTAATAATAAATTAAATAAAAAAAAAACAAAATCGAAACGACTGTGGCGTTATTGAGTTAAGCGGCTATGTGCCTCGGGCTGGTGTGTGTGATGTAGGCGCCTTGGGCGACTCTAATGTCCACTAGCTGGCTAGCATTAAAAAGCTGTGCGAAAACGACGAACAGATGAGTGTACCAATTCATATGTGACCGAACATGCCACAGCTCTATTCGTCTCATTGGAAAGTTATCTAATTGGCAAGATAATTGAGAAGTGAACAATGGAAAATTCACAGCAATATAAAATGATGATTTAGTTAAATGTTAAAATATGGTACACCCAATTTCTTGCGCGTTACTTTAGACCCGAATAAGACGATCCTATTTGGGTCAGTTTACATCGAAGCATGCCTAAAACACAAATGTTGGCGTAGATTATACTTACTTTTATGGCAGTCTGCATAATGACGGTGGTTGCATAGTTGACGCCCTTAGTGCCCAAGTTGAGCACAGTGTGGTAACCTTGATCTTTGGCTTTGGCAATGTACTCATCTATTTCCTGTAAGGTGCGACACATAGCCTTTAAAGAATACCATTCGAATAAATTACAAGAATCAACAAGTAATTCTTACTTTTCTTACTTAATATTATAAACGCGAAAGTTTGTATGTATGGATGGCTGTTTGTTACTCTTTCACGCAAAAACTACTGGATAGATTTTAATGAAACTTTACAATAATATAGCTTATACATCAGACAGGCCCTTGTTTATAAAAAATATTGTGTGAATGGTCCAAAATATAGGTAACGATAAGAATCAACTAAGTAGGAAAAATTCAGCCATCTACGAGATATTCCGAACAATAATAAAAACCTCATTGTTAATTCTCATTGGCCGCGCGGGCGAAGCCGCGGGTAACAGCTAGTAATAAATATATCATAATTGAAATATAATCGTGTTGTCTTTCTTGAGTTTTATTTTTTCTCATTAAATGATATCGGTTAATTCATGCAATTTACAGATAAGACAATAGTTCTCAATCACGTCTGTGATTGAATATTCATTCGTATTAGATTTCCTATTTCGTCAAGAGCTCCATAAAACCTTGAAAGTTTATTGTGCCAATTTAAATGTCGAGAATACTTTGGGCAATTATAACAAAGTACAAAAATATTGACAATTAATATATCTTTTTTTAGAATATGTTGGAGACTATGAAACGGTAGTTTTTCCTCTAAGTATTGTTATTGAAAACTAATTTCTTTTATAAGGTATATACTGCGCTAATCAAAATGTATGTTAAACACAAACATTGTATGTTGAAATAAAGCGACATAAGCGACTGTTTAACAAATTATTAATATATAAACTGGTATGAAAATGATTGACGATTGAATTGAACGTTCACGTACTATAATGTATACATAAACATATCGTATGACCACAAGATTTACGCAACTAATCTACAATTTATATACGTTGCTTGGCTGTTAAGCTTGACATTACATCAGGTGGTAGCAATCAGGAAATTTTGCATTTATGCAAATGAACATCGATAACATCGATAAATTTAAGTAAAACTGAGATGAAAAGTAAAGGTCTATTTCTACTGACCACTTTAACCAAACCATTATTTTATGACTGTCTTTTAATTTCTTCTTTTAGGTAAATACATTCCTTGCATTGCTAAACCAATGCAAGGAATGTATTTACGTAGCTCCTATGGATCTAGCTCTATGTGTAGAGCCAAATATCATTTTACAGGTCAAAGTAATTGATGATTTGGAAGATTTGGAGATCATTTAGCTTACGTTGACACAGAAAATAATAGAAAGCTTTATTCTAACAGAGCCCTCTAGGGCAAAGACCACTTTGAAGCTCTTAGATATAAGAAGTCACGATACAATTATTGTATAACTTAATTAAGGTTTTACAAAATCTGACTAAATAATGCTTGCTTAATCTAGCTTTAGATTGCGAATTTTGAAATCTACAACTAGAGTCTAGGTTTTGGATGGGCGACTGTACAATAAATAAATTTTGAAATTTGCAAACTAAATAAAGGTATGTTTCATGTATGAATTTTATATACATTCATGATCATGAACGTCTGATATTGTAAAATTGATCCTCACGCGAGCATAAATATTAAACAAATCCACGTTATTGCGTTAAGATGTAAAACAATCAATGTGCATCGTGTGCAATGCATAACCATTAGCAAGTGGTTTGCGGTTTTATCTCTTGTATAACGGACACTAGTATCTTCGCCGCCATGGTATATATCTTGTTTATATCAAACACAATTCATGTAATCAAATACAAAAATAAACTTCATCATGACTGATGACTTACGGTGTAAATGTGACCCTGAATCTTTATGCTGCTGTAGGTGAAAGGGTGGTTCAAATGCTTATCTGTCTAGTTTTCTAATTTTATTTGCGCCAACGACTCAAAAAATGTCTTTATTTTTTATTATCTATCGGAACTTAAACCCAAAATCAGTTAAGCATTTACCAAAATATCGAAAATCATAACTATTGCTCTCTAACAATGTTAGTTCGCAGCTTACTCGAACTAGGAAGCACCGTGATCGTATTTATCTCGCCTGCAGCGTGTGATAACCAAAAGGACACAGAAAAGTTCGCACCATAACTCCTTAGTGGTGCTAATATCTATGGCCGGCAGTAATCATTTAATATCAGAGTCATAAAAAATAAATTATAAACTATCTCTACTATATATATATATAACTTAGAAAAATACAGACCTTTAACGTTGGCTAAATTGTAAATATATTTACCTGTTCCCGCCTGCAAAGTGCGGGATGGACAAACTTCCTGTAGAGAATTGAGGAACCTTTGGTGGCTGGCGAGAGGAGCCATAGCACCAATACTATCTTCACCTCGTAGTAGAAAGGGAACCAAGATAGGAACACGTCCGTGAAAGTCTCTGTGCACGTGAATAGTGCGAATACTATCCAATACATCATCCATTTTACCTGAAAGATCGTCGACAACATTTATTTTACGTCATGTTAATTATACTCGTGTTGTTTAATAACATTCGATGATAGTTGATGATAGTTTAGTGCAAATGTGAACGAAGTCGGTGTAAGCAAGTGGCTCACGGCAGTTCGTGGCAGTCTGTGTCTTCTATGTTCAGCGGTGGATTCTTACAGGCTGAAGTGATGATGATGACAGTTTGATAATCGTAGCAGTCATGCGAAGTCAGGAGTAGCAAAATTTCACTGTGATAGAGTCACGCAGTAGTTACAGCTGTTGCATGAATAGGGAGGTTCGGCTGTAGAAATTAATACCAGTGAAATACCCTCACAGAAGATCGGAGTGAAGTGGAAGTTATTATACCTATTTTCAAGTTTCATCTGGCGAGTGAGGTAACCGTCCTACTTCTTTAAAAGCTGGCAACTTTAGCTGTATAACGTCAGGAGTGAACCAAATGATCGCTTGGCAAAAATTCACATAAAAAAATTGCCAAACTTCCCTTTTATATGATTATTTAAATAGTTCCAAAACAGTTCATAAGGAACAAAAGTAAAATTAAATTCCACGATGGTCAACAGTGATTAGGAATGAAATTTAGCGTTTCGACTGACAACAACCCGTACCTATATAGACAAAGGGTAGACATAAATATATTTAGAAGCAATAACAAAGAGCATACGCATTAATAATAATTGTATTGCGTTTCAAGTACCCGAGAGGAGGTAAAGGACGCGTTGAGAATTGAAGCGTTGCGAACAAGTTGCGCCAGCGGCCGTGACAAGGCCATCCCTGAGGCTGTTCTTCAGTTGGAAACGGTATACTTCTAACTTAATGTTAATACCATTTTTATGTTCATTTTTCGAACTCATTGAAAGAGATTATTCTTTGAATGGGGCGGAGGGCTCAGATAAATGTGGTTAAGATCTGATGATAAGATCCATGAGAAAATTATCGAACACTTCATTTTACAATTGAGACTGCGCGACATGTGCGTTTTATTTTATATTTTATAAGTAGTGCATTTTTGTTCTTCTTGTGGGTTTTTTTAGTTCTCTTGAATTTCATTGTAGCAATTTTGATGTAAGCTTTTTTTTTTAAATTACTTTAATATTTAGTAGCTGCATTAAGTTTTTAATATAAGCAAAATAAATTGTTTACGCCACATCTGATGGTTGTGTACGAAGTAATATGTAAACAGATAAAAATCGTTTCAATAAACGAATGAGAATGTATGATCATATGAAGAACTGAACATAAAATCATTAGATTTTTATCGATACATTTGGCCAAATTCCATAATTAGTTTGAATTAAGTGTGATGTGTGATATTCGTTCAAAGGGATTGTTTAGCTGTTTGTAATTGAATAATTACTTAATTATTAAAATTAACAAATAATAAATAAAATTTTTGGTCAACTAGTGGTAGACCACCACTCAGTCTAACAAATTACGGATTGTTTCGCAAAAAATAATTCAAATACAGAATACCTATAAAACTTACGTCCTCGTAGATGCCACTATATAAATTTATATGCCAGATGAGAGCGAATATTATTACAATTTTAAATTTAAATGTTTAATTTTTTGAATAAAATGTTTACACTTTCTCTCACTTTCTTTCCCTTGGATACTTTGAGTGAATTCACAAATATAACATTGTGAATATGAATAGTTATAACGTTTTTTTTGTGTTAGTTAACCATAAGGTCCTGTAAAATATTATAAAATATATGAATTAACTAATTAAAAATAGAAACCACTCACGTATTCTTTCAGATTCTTCGTGCGCACAGCTTTGTATGAGGCGTAAGCCGGGTAGAGGGTTCCGAATACCAATCTGCAAAACGGATACAGCACTAGATAAGAGATCATCCTCGGGGCGAACAGTGCTGTCGCGACGGACAGTGCTCCGAAATTGGCTAGGGTGACGCTGGGGACGCATCTGCCGACGGCGACGGCGAATCTGCTCCAGACTTGTCCGTTCGGCGTGGCGAACGTGAGGTCACCGTGTCCGCGGCAGGCGTCGACAACATTCGGGTCGTATTTGACCACCTCTAGGCCGCTGCTGGGCACAGCGCTCTGCGTGCACTCGGCCTCCAGCCTATCTACTATATGCCGGACACTCGTCAGCCCTAGGCTCAATCTGAAGGGACGGTTGCCACGGTTACCACGCGCGCGACCCGCCTCCATGGAGACGGCGGACACAAGACATGTAATAGCGTGTCACGCTGCGTATATCGCTGTGTCAGCTCGAGCGTGTACAAACGCCACGAAATGATAGAGGTGCATGCACTTAATGTTTCATTGAGACTGACTGTTCAGTACCCTAGTAGGTGCGGTTGCCTTGAGACTGAATAGCGCGAAGGTCGCGACAGATCTCTTTGTTGAGGCTACTTTTTGCAGCTTACATTCGAAAATATCGAACTAAAATGATCTCCAACATATCATTAGAAAAGTTAAGCGGAGTTAAGCCTGAACTGCATTAAAGACTTACAAGTCTTGTAAATTTATTTGCGACAAAGTTTTTATATTTACTGCATATTTTGTAAAACGTTGAAAATGATGGCCTCGGAAAGTTCACAGTAAAATAACGTTTCAAAAATAATCTAACGAAATTACAGCGATGATAAAGGAAACATTCACTAAAACAATTTAATTGCTAGTAATATTGTACACTGTACATTCAATCGTCATGCATTCGTCGTTCAGTCAGTCAATTTATCCCATATGCTCATTGCCCGGAAAGAGCATAAGTCCGTGACCATTTAACGAGTTAAAGCTAAATTAGAAACATGATCATAATCGACTTTGGAAGTACGTAAAAACGAACAATATTCCATATTGTGCATTTTTGATTGCTAAATGTCAAATATGAAGACATGGTTATCATAAAGAAGTTTTGTACATTTATGTACGTACGAATTTTTAATTAGGTCGCTTTTAAAGAGCCCGCGGCATATATGTGGTCTTGCCTTAATAAATGGAATAAAATATCGACTTTCATTTTAACATTATATTTTATTGAATCCCTGTATAATCTTTCTCTTGTGACCAAGTGATGATTCAGAAAAATATATAAATTATAAGAATTAAATATGTAAAGTTGGTTGTACAAATCACAAGATTGTTATTAGGTTTATTTATTATGGTTTTTAAAGAAACACTGGAGTAATAGTACGAATGTTAATAAAGAATAATATTCACAACTGTAAATGGACATTACTAAATAATACCTAAAAAGCAATACTGCTTTGTAGCTTTCTGTATATGTAGGAATGAATTATTTTAACACTAATACAAAAATAGCGCAATTGGCCACTGTTCTAAGAATAATAAACAATAAAGACAACCGGACAACGAAGCATTTATGCGATCACCAATTTATGATGCTCCTCCTCGCCTGAAGTGACCACTTAACTAATATACGACTTGAAACCATCAACCCAGATCCAATAAAGCTGGTCAATTTAAAAATAAAACAAGGCACTGGCAAGACAACACAGTTGCATCGCCTTGTTGACATTGCACGTATGTCTATAAACAAAAATATGCACCTTACTATTCTTAAAGAAACAATAGCAAGTTTATACTTGTGTTTGTATATTTAATTTCATGTCCATAAGAGATCTTGAATACAATATCTATAGCGATACTCAGTACGTGTAATAATACCCAAGATGTATCAAAGATTTGCAACTGATTATGTTTCTGCTATTATCATCGGTTTTTATGGTTCCGTACGCAAAGGGTAAAACAGGACGTTTGACCCTTTGGGTACGGAATAGGGATTAAGACTCCGCTGTCTGGCTGTCTGTCCGTCTGCCAACAGGCTGTATCTCATGAACCGTGAGTTAATTGAAATTTTTATATATAACATTATTAATTATGTCACATATAACAACAAATAATAAAAAACAGAATAAAAAATATTTATGTGAGGCTCCCGAACAACAGACATGATTTTGTGCCATTTTTATATTATAAAATAACTAATTTAAATTGTTCGTCACACTTAGAATTCACTTTAGTTTCAGGTTAATACTAAGCCCACAAGGCAAACAAATAAAACATATGACAACACATTTCCTGTGTTCTTTTATTAATTACTAACGACCCGCCCCGGCTTCGTGCATTATTATACATATAAACCTTCCTCTTGAATCACTTTTTTTTTTTACAATATTTAGTAAAAAAAACCGCATCAAGATCCGTTGCGTAGTTTTAAAGATCTAAACGTACACAGGGACAGACAGACAACGGAACCCCTCCACTAACCTTTAAACTTTATGGTATGGTATTAAAGTTCAAATTGACTTTTAAGTATTCTTATGAATCTTTTGTAGGGGAATATAGAAGTGTTGTTCTTGGACTTTTTCAGGCAATTTTTTAAATTTTTCTATCCGTAAGAACCATGTTCCTACTTCAAGGAATATTATAAAAAAAGTATTAGCGAAATCGGTCCACCCGTTTGCGCGTGATGGCGTAACCAAGGGAAATAGGAATTCATTTTTATATATATATATAGATTTATAGATTTAATGATCATACATTTGGAAAAAAATACATATTTCATTAAATATAGATAAACAATATATCAATACCATAATAAATAAATAATGAATGCACGTGTTGCACTTATCAGTGTGTTGAGAATTCAATCCTCATGAACTCATAATGCCAAACAATGTTTAATTAATTTTAATAACTCTTAGATGAGATCTAGTAACCGACTTGTAGGGGAAAGTACTACGACACTTACCACACACCCTGACAGAAAATTTCACTGGTATCAATAGTTATATACAAGGAAAACTTCCTATCTATGTAATTGATACACTCGAGAATGTTAGGAGTACAAGCATCAGATATAAATAATTTGGTACACTTTTAGAGTACTGACGGTAGTGTCCACCTATGATAAGAGAATAAGCTTTGCCGTCAATAAATACTTGGTGAGTAATTGGTGAGTTCTCTCGCATTTCAATATTTTTAACTTGATATAGTTTAGCTTTATATTTCAAATCTTGTATCAATAAATTCTAAAACTGTTAAGGAATATATCTTTTATTTCCACTAAGTAAATCCCTTAGAATAAGCATTATTCTGTCTTGCACGGGGCGGGCTGGCGCCTATTTAATATAAATTCTGTCCGTCCCCGTGACTGGGTCACCGAGCCTCACCCTGAGGCCTCGATCGGTCCGATTGAGTCAGCCGGAGCGAACCTCTATACCGATCTCCCACTGGTGGAGTCAGGTATGGATGTTTCAGTTGTGTTAATGATATAATTTTTTAAATCATGAAGAAAAGCATGGGGAAAACTATAAGTTTTTTTTATTAGTACATATATAATTTTTGTTTTATTTTTAATTAGAGACCCATGATTATATGACAGTTTTTATTGAATTTTAATTCACTAAGTAAACTCAATCAATAAAACAATATCTCTTCTCTTACTAGGCGATCGCACTACGCAGCATTGGCACATTGTATTTAAATTTGTGGCCTATTGTGCATTCTCACTGCATTTAATACCGACTTCACAGATCATCCCCTCTCGAGTTGGCTTCGGCAACTGATTTATGAGTGCTTATCTAGCAGCATGATTATTACAACAACAAATCAAACTCATTAAATGTTGTATTTAGCCCACGAAATCTTTATTTCAAAAGAGTGAAACACGGTCATACATATAATCAAATCTCACCAATTTTTGATATAAGAAAATATATCAGCTCTATCTAACAATTACTGCCTTCGCACAACTACATTCGCTTCACTACACAAACGCATTTGGCACAATTTCTCTCAAATTACTTAACGCAAAATGAATTATGCGAAAACCTAATTTTATTCGTGCGGCAAGCGCGTTCGCGTCGACATTTCCTTTTGCAAGGCTAATCATAATTAATATCCTGTCCATAGATGACATCGCGATTCACGATATTAAATTCTGAGATCTTGATTACTAAAACTGTCTACTAAAAATCGTTTGGATTATTTAAATCTAACATCCAACAAGCTAACATCTAATAAATAATGTTTATTAAATACGATCAAATTCTTAATGAATTTAAAAATTTAACAAGCACTTCTAGCAAAAATATAACGCGAATAATATAATTTCACAGTTAAAACTTCCTACAACGCTATGCTAGTTGTTTCCGTTTGAATTGGCATAGAATGTGTTTAAATAACAAATGACACGACATATTTCTTACTGCGACATGCGACAGCCGGTAACGTCAATATCACTGGCGTATCAATGAACAATCTCGTAGATATTGGTTTCGTCTCGCACCAACGCATCTTGTGATCGATGTCGCTACATTGCGATCAGTCACATAAAAAGATGAACATATGGTACGATGCAAAGTTAAGTATAGAAATACACGCTCCCGCATCGATGCGTGGCATATGGGTCAAAAACCTGTGTCTCGTTTGGAATTGTCGGTCGGGAGATCTCACGTGATGTTCGTCATTGAGCTTGTGTACGCACTTTAATGTGTGTGTGTATTTGTGTGTGTTAAAGTGTGTGCTTGTCTTATATAAATATGTGTAACCAGGGCATTGGAATAATTATTTAAAATTTAGAATTTAGCACACATAAAACCAATGAGTGTTCAATACAAAAAGAATCAACTTGCTAGGTTACTGTGCCAAATCTATCTGCCACTATGGCAAACGTTGTTCGCCGACATGATACGATTAAAAATACAATTCCTAAGTAGACAATTCACGAGTTTTTTAGTATTTTAAACTAGTAGGCATATTCATTTTGAAGCCAACGGAAATTGAAAGAATAAAACGTAACGTAGTTATATTCAACCCTACGTAAAATGGTTGCGCTATAGCGTACTGTAATATAAGTACCACGATTTCGAAATATCGTTGCAACAAATAGATACAAACGGGATTGTTTTAATTCAAACGATATTTTCCGCTACACTATCAATAACTACGTGCTTAAAACTCGTTATCGCTTATCTGCAGTTGCTGCATCGTAGCGTTCATTACGGCCGATGCATCTCTTTGTTTTAAGCGAGTGCTTTATGCACTCCAGCCGATCTGTGACTCATTACCTACTTGGAAGCTTCTTTATTGTCGATTGTTCTCTGCCACTGAACGAGGCAAATGTTATGCGGTTAATGGTTACATTTGATTTAAATTAATTATGGTGTATAACGTTATAT